GAGTGGCCACATCTAAACTGTGTGATTTGGAGAGCTCCTGGCCTCTGCTGCCTCCCAGGAGTTTACAGACATAGAATATTTTGTGTTGGAAGGGACCTTTAAAGGCCACTTAGTCCCTCTGCCCTGCAGTGAACAGGAGTGTTTTCCACCAGATCAGATGCTGAGAACCCCATCCAACCTCACACTGAATGTTTCTGGGCAACCTGTGCCAGTGCCTCATCACCCTCATTATAAAAAGCTTCTTATGTCTAATCTACATCAACCCTCCTTTAGTTTAAAGCCATTCCCCCTTGTGCTGGCACTCCCAAAGTCCCTCTCCAGCTCTCCTGAAGCCCCTTTAGGCTCTGGAAGGGGCTCCAAGGTCTCCCCAGAGCCTTCTCCAGGCTCCCAGCCTGACTCCATAGGAAAGGTGCTCCAGCCCTCTGAGCATCCTCATGGTCTCCTCTGGACCTGCTCCAACAGGTTCTTGTTTTCCTGCGTTGAAGGCCTCAGAGCTGGACATTGTTTGGGACAATGTGACTTGGCGCAGGTCAAAGCATGTTCACTCAAAAGCTGCTGATGATACTCCAACAGGAAGGAATCTTCTTGGTCACTGACTAGTTTAATATATTCCAAGTCCACCATATTTCTAAGACTGAAACAGAGTGAACTCCCAGAGCACAGTTCCATGTACCTCAAGATGTGGTTTGGTGTGTTCAGGAGTCTTCTGCAAATACAAATTAATTGTGTCTCAACAAAGACTAAATTAAACAGGAGTAATTAAAAAAAAATGTAAAAAACGATATATTTTATACACACTTTAATGCGATCTACCATCTTTTGCAGAGGGCCCATTGCATTACTGTGAGCTTTAGAGATTTCCCACTAAGGCAAGAACACTGGTGAGCAGCACTAAAAAAAATGACACCCACAATGAACCCCGTAGAATAAAAATAAAAATAAAAATCTGTAGTTTTTAAGTTTCTAATGCAATTCACAGGACAATATGCCCTAAATCACAGAATCATAAAATCACAGCAGAGTTTGGAAGCACAGTGTTGGAAGGAACCTTAAAGATAATCTAGTTTCATCCCTCCTGCAAAAGAATCAGAAAGTAGGCATTTAATTTAGTTTTTTACCATTTTGCTGGCTTCAAGACCACTTTAAGGTAGTCTGTTGTTGTAGGGAAGTTATTTTCCCTTCACTATTTATTCAAACTTGCTATGAAAGCATTATGGTAGCTACTGCAACTGAATTATTGCCATATAACATGTGACTGTTGGAAATATATCCCTAAACTGGCAGTCAGGGTGACACAGGAATGGTGTTTCTCCTAATCCTATGGGAACAGAAGTGAAACAGAGCACTCACAGCGTGATGCTCTGAATTCTTTTGTGTGTCAGTCCAGACTTCTGATGGGAAGATCTTATCTTGGGGGGGAGGGAGCATTAAAGCTTTAAAACAAAAAATGGGTATTTACAGAATGAGAGAGATGTCAGCTTTGCAGTAACATTGACTGAAATCTTTAAATAGCTACACTTAATTTAATGACATGGAGAATGTGATAGTGGTTCTCACAGAAAAAAAGCGGCAGAACTGAAGCTACCATTGACAAAATCAGAGGCAAACCTGCAGCTGGTTTAACTATAGTCAGGAACCTGAGAGGTTCAGAGGAACAACATAAGGACACAAAGACCCAAAGCTCCAAGTCTATTCAAACTGCAAAATAAGGAAAAACTCCAAGATTTTAAATGAACAGGGGCCTCTTTGCCCCACCAATTCAGCCACATCCCACAGGAGTACCACCTCTCCTCTCTAAATTATTTTTAAGAGACAGAGGAAAGCCAAATTGTAATCTTCTTTTAAAGTGTCAGTTACGGTGGATTCTGTAATACAGCAGGCAAAGGAAGTCAAACACCCGAAGACCACCAGCTCTGGCTATTCCACAGCCCAACCTGTGCAATAAAAAAGAAGTGTGGGTAGATTGCCATTACAGATGTCATTCTCAAGAGACAGACACACATTATGAAGACCAGTTCTATAATCCATCTCTCCTTTCCATGCACAGTCCAGTTACATCCAGGAATGAGAATCACTTTTTCCATCTGTAAATGGTTTTGAGGAGCAGAGTTTCACTGGTGCTTTACTGCTGTCTCAGGAGAGCAGGACAGTAACTGTTATAAAGTGAGGCAGAAGTGTTATTCCAGTTTGTATTTTGTTTTGACTTTGCCAATACAGTTGTCTGGTTTGCCTCTACTTAATGTTATTATTGCAGTTTTATAAAAAGTCATCTCATCACAATGTATTGATATAATAACCACGTGTTATGACAAAGTAGTGTGAAATTTGTTCTTAATTTCTGCCCTATATTTTAAGAGTATTCCACTTTGGATTAATGTCCCTTTGCAAATTGCTGGTATTACTGATCCTGAGATAGACCCTTTGCTTCAAATTAATACCATGGGATATATCAGAAAATTCTATGGACAATCCTAAATGAGTGTCCTTTGCTTTAAATATGACAGTGCTGGTGGCTGTATTTCAGTCAAAGAAGTGTAGAATTGTTTGGTCTCCTTTGGTAATGTCCCAAAGTGTCTCAGAGCTTTCCTGACTCCTCCATGCTGCAGATATGGAATGGACCTCACAGCACTGCAGGCAACAACATGAAGGCTTAGCTCTAATTTTATGAAATGCTTTAAAAGGAATGAGTATAAACAATATTTGCATCATAACTGAAAACATACTGCTAAACAATCATATCCTGTTTAGCCCATAATAACATTAGAAATATATGTTTATCATCCGCTCTGGACAGCTTAGCATGATTTTGGCCCAAGGCAAAGTGGAACTGAAATAATTTATGGTAGTCCAAACCAAGGTAACCACACATTTCTGAGGTAATTCATACCTAAAAGGAACACCACCCTTAGACTGCAGTTCATGATTTAAATACACTAATTCCTTAAAAAACCCTGTTAAATTGACTATTGGATTTCCTCCAGAATTTAGTGTGGATTAAACAATCTACTGAAGAAAGAAAATGTGATACAGAAGATTAGCCCATCTACTAACAACTCTTCCTTTAGGAATGGATCACATTTCCTACTATCTTTGATTCCTTTCCACCCACCTCAATGTGACAACAAAATCCCAAACAAAACAAAGCCCAAAATACGTTAAACATTTTGAGTAGCATGTTTCAAACAGGCTTTCATGTTTTGTCATTAGTTTTAGAGACTAATAAGAAAGCAAATAGATAGTGCTGGCTTCATACCTGTATATAATCATGACTGTATTCTAAAATAAGATCTTGATTTACTTTTTCTTTTCTTTTAACATGGAAATAGATCAAGAGTTCACAAGATGTAATGAAGTCAAGCAATAGAGAAGAAATACTTTTTATATATAATACACACAAATACTACAGTTCATGATTTACAGTCTAGTAATAAAATCCAAAACATATAGTCAGAGGAAAGGCAAATATTTGATCACAGACACACATTGCTTGACAGACAAACACAGATTCAGATTTGCCATTGTCTACAACAGAGAACTCCACACTTTTATCAACTTGCATAGCTCTTTAGATCAGAAGACTACTATACTGGAAGAAGAGAGTGCAAATTCAAGCACATTCATTCAAAATTCAACCCATTCATTCAGAAGTATGCTGTTATCTATTTCTGTGTTTACAAGCTCAAAGGATTTGCCTCCCCTTATCCAAAACATAATATTTTGCATAAATAAATAAGTAAGAGGTTAAAGAAAAGAAACCACCAGTTTCCAAAATACAAACAGTGGTTGGGTACAACTGTTCAATCACAGAAATTCTCAGCTGGGGGGAAATGGGACTTGCTCCTAACCAAATTCTTAGAGAGAAGTGGTTCTTCATTAGGTTTTGATTTCTTCCCATTGCAAAGCAGAAAGGAGCAGAAAGATTGGGAATGCTGCAGTTCTGAAAAGAGGCTCCATTAAGAAGAAAGAAAGAAAGCAGAATTACAACTTGCACAGGATAAAAATTCCGTTATTTCTTAGAATTTTCCGTGAAATCCTGAAAGTGAAATGAAGCCCTAATAGCCAAATATAAACCACAAAAATATTACCAAACACATGAGCCACCTCAGCATGGAAAGGGAACTCAAACCAAAGTATAGAAATCACTCTACAATAAGGGTATAGAAATCACTCTACAAATATCGAATTTTCACTAGTTCTGTCCACTCTGTTGATGTCTGAAAATGGATGGAAATTGGCTCAAATACTTCTCTGGAATTATGAGTGTGCTCCTAGCACATTTTTGTGCTTGACATCCAGTTGTCTACAGAAAACTTGAGGAAGAATTGAGCAATTGAGCACGACGAAGGGTGAAGGACTCTCTGCATTCACTGTGGACCAGATTACCAAAATAACAGGGTAGCCCTGCCCACCCACAGAAAATTAGTCAAAAACACAGACTCCCATGCTAACACAGCTACACTACTTCTCAATCCTGCCTAGCTTTATGGGAGTCATGTAGCACTGCATTTTTTAATGTAGACAAAATTTTTCTTAACTACAGAGAACAGAAAATAGGCCTGGAAAGGATGGAGAGAAGAGTTTATACTCAAGCATGCTAGCACAGAATATTTTAATTTCATCTGTAAGCTGTGTTATATGAAGAGTCCTCAAATGCTATTGAAACAAATTGCTAAGAAGATAAATAATTGTTGCAAAAAATCTGCATGGGATATTTATAAATAAAATTTGCTTTCTACTGGAAGAAAGTACAAATACACAGCAGACAGAAAGATCCATAACTACCCTTCTGTAATCTTCCTTCTCAACATGTGTGCTTAGATATCAAGAAACATTTGAAGGAATAGGAAAATAAAGAAATAGGATTTCTTTAGACCATCTGGGCAAAAGAAAAAACATGTAACAATGATTTAACGTGCAGCATGAAAAAGGCATCAGAACAGCATGGTGCATTAAATGCTTCATAATTTTTCTGCTGGGAATCAATAAAAGGAAAGAATTACCTCCATCCGTTCCTGCTTGACATCATCGATCTCATCATCTTCAAACATGGCCAAGAGCTCTCCAGTCTGGTCAATGGAGTTGAGAAAGTCTTGGGCCAGCTTCTGCCTCTTGTTGGTGTTATTGCTGTTGAATTTGTCTTCACAAAGACAAGCAAAACAGAACAAACAACCTATTTGGCTTCTCCAAATATCAGGTGATGTCACTGCTGATGTCAAATAAAGGTGATGTCACTGCTCTGTTCCAGTAACAGCAGAACATCATCTTTAGTATTTTTTAATATAACCAAGTAGTTTTTCATAATCTAGAGAAAACTAATCTGCTGCCAATTTATCATTTCTTCTCACAAAAATAATTCACAGCCGTAGAGGAAACAAGCCCTCTTTGGCAGAAAGAACTTGAGTCACAGAGCAGAATATATTGAGGAAAAATTCTTCCCTGAACACATACAGAACATCTTCATTTCCTACAGCCTCAAGCAAACACTAACATGACCATTAAGTTCCATAGGTGATGGACCACTGCTCTGCAGTTAAACCTGGAGAATGCTGGCAAGATGATCTCTGTTGCTCTAAACAGCACAGCAGCTATAAAACAACTGAATTCACAAAAGAAAATTAATGGCTTTAATTATCAGAGCCCACTAGAAAAGGCATTCTTTAATTCCAGTATAAATTGCCCTTAGGAAGCATTTCATGAACATCTAAAAGGCTTAGGGGAATTTTTTATTATTTTATAAAATAAAAGTATTTTATTATTTGCTTTAAGTAGTGACACAAGCTAAAGTATTAAAACCCCAAAGCTGCCAGGTAAGAAGCTGTACTGCCAGATTGCTTGCATACACAAAACATAAAAATAAAATGCAACAGGCAAATTTAATCTCAAATGAGCTGACAAAAACATATCCACAGCTTGATGAAGTCAGAGCAAGAAGTGCTCACCTAGCATCAATGTGGAAGCTCAGAGGAACCAAACACAAGGAATTCATTGTATGGGAAAAATAATAAAAGACTCTGAGAAAGGAAGTAAGTTTAATACAGAAAGTTGTGTAAGGACATTGCTAGATGTTTTAACAGTATGGTAAAGGTTTAGATTTGCCATTATAAGTTTTAACTTAACTTTTTACAATGGATATGTTAGTTCTAATGTCAATATAAATCAACAAAATTTTAAACCAGGAAACTATATGGCATAAATTAATATATTTGTAATTCGAAGAGTTTTTCCTTTACATGCATTGGTTATAAAATCTGTGACTTCCTTAAAAAATACATGTCATATATTAGTGTTCAGTGACTTCAGATCATAAGAGATTTTTTAAAAAAAGCATGTCAAAACATTTTGATAATAATTTAGCAAGTGCCCATTCAATTGCAGGTGGTGCATTTAAAATACAGATGTTGAAATCAATTAGCTCTTTAATCAGCACAAGTTTCTTACTTCAACAAAGCTCTCACATGAAGTCTTACTGCTCATGGGGATGGTAATGCAAACACATTTCAAATTGAAAAGCAGAGATTTTCAGCAAAATTCCTCTAAAGAGACTATTTTTGTGTCTCTAACTATCAAGCAAGACATTAATACTTTGCATTGAGCTGTTCAGCACTTTTACAAAACATCAAGCCCCTCCCAAACTAAGTAATTTCTTTTTTCTACCTTCAAGGAGGTCATCTTCTTCTATTCCTTTGACAATTTTAGATTTGTAGTCTCGAAAAAACATGTATTTAAGTAGCCTTCGAAGCTTCTTCTGTGAGAAAAAAATACATTTATATAATGACTATTACATAGTTATTTCTTATTTAATTTGTATGTTTGTAACACACAAACATGCAAAGGTGTAGCACATTACTTAGTAAATATAACTTTAAAATATTTGTCATTTTAAATTCTTCAGAAAATACATAGAAAGTACCTCAGGACAGTAGAAAACCCATATTAAATATTATTTATTTGAGCTCCTTAGTACTTTGCTTTGACTTTCAGAAAGGAGAAATTCATATATCGGGCTTCTTTATGGCACTCCAAAATGTTTGCTTACTTTGGAAACTCTAGTCTAGAAATGCACATTTCAATGAACTTTGACTCCATATCAGTTGCTGTTTTCAGTACAGCCTTATAGCTTTTATCAGATAAAGAAACTGCAATTTATTTTCATGTTTTATTGAATTTTGAAATGATTTTGGCCGTTAGGTTTCACCTGTCAAATGAGGAAAGGAAAACAAAGGAGAGAAAAGAGTGAGAGAAAGAGGGAAACTAAGGAAGAAAAGGACATAAAGAAAGAATAAATAATATAATTTTAAAAAGTTGAAAATTTTTTTAATAGTTATTAAATTTGAGGAGGGAAAATTATTTTTCCCCCCTTTTTGACCTGCTCTACTTACTATCCAGAGAAAGCAAGGCCATACCTAAATTTGAAGATTTTAGCAGGATAAAAAACAGGAAAAATATTATAAAATAAAATAAAGAGGATTTATAGACAGTCTAAATGACAAAACTATAACGGTCACATTGTCAACTGTGACACTGACACCCTTCGTAACTGGGGGAACTTAGAATGATTGATTTTTAATTAAAGGGACATAAAGTATAGGGATCAATATTTATATCTTATTAAGAAATTGTTTTGAGCTCTAAGGTACATTATCTACCCTATAGCTTTGTGAAAAAAAAAAAGAGTTGATAATTGAAGCTACAATTCAAAAAAAGACAATTATTATTTTAGATATTACAGAATGATTACAACATGCTTGATCAAATACAATTGCAGAGCAGCTGTACTTTTAAATAAAGCTATTCATGATGATGGATTCCTTTACATAGGTTAAGAAAGCACTTGAAAACACAATAAGCAGCTGACTACATAAAATAAGAAATTTCTGTCTAATCACTGTACCTTATCTTTGCGCATTAAGAACAGGAGATCTTCAGCAGAGATGACTCGAGCTCCTCTCATCTGAGAAACTTCAGCTGCTTGCTGCAACTAAAATAAAATAATAAATTAGGATGGCCTTTTCAGTGTTAAAAACTTTATTCACTGGGGTTTGTTTTAAATAAAGTCAGAGAATATTTTGTATGGTTGTCCATAGCAAAATACAAGCTGTGCACTAAAACACAAGCTGGGACTCTCAAAGGTGTCACTCACTCGAGTCTTGTTTGCCAAGAAGTGAATAACAATTTTATGAAAAGCCTGAAAGACCTTTGACAAATCTCAAGAAAAAGCTTTTTTGTTTATATTTAAAATGATTGCTTTTAAAAAGTCCTGCTGCCTTTTTTTTTTTTCTTCTCTTAGCACAGAAAATGAACATATAATTCTCTCAGGCAATGTAAAAATGCCAAATTCTTGCCATAGCACTTTATCTGCAACTGTGGAAGGCCGGCTGATCCCTCTCCCAGTTTTTTAGAATAACAAATATTAATTTTAAACAGCTTACCTAAGTATTTTTTGAAAGAAACTCTACCCCTACTTGACTTAGCATTAGTACAAACCAGACTCACATGAAGAACTTTTTTAGGAATGTTCTTATTTCATTTGGGAGAAAGAAAATGAATTGATAGGAAACACCAACTCTATTAATGAAGGAACTGAAAAACCTATTGAGCAGACCAGGCCATTCAGCTGTGAAAGTGATAAAGATTTGATTGAGCAAGGAATGACACAAAAATTGATAAGAGGTGACCAAAGGAGTGTGAAGCAGTGGACTGCCCTCACATCCATTGTGACAATACCTACAAAGGCCTCGAATGCCTCAAACTGTGCTGTAAAGAGCAAAACAATCTCTTTGTAAAGGACTAAATACATCAGTTTTCAGTAGGTGCAGGAAACTGGGGTTTTTACACAAAACTAGAACAGGGTTAGAAACCTGGTAACCTGGGTTTTCTGCACAGCTGATGCTTATCAAAGTGCTGAGCTAAGGAGATTCAACCCAAATGTGCAAAAGGATTCAATGGGATTTGCTCCTTTCACCTCACAAGCTTTTTGTTCTGGCATAAGATCATCACAGAATCACAGAGTGGGTTGGAATGAATTTTTTAAAAATCATCTAGTCCAACCCCTGTAATGAGCAGGGACCTTGAACTAGACCAAGTTTCTCAGAGTCCCCTCCAGTCTTGAATTCTTCCAGGGATGGAGAATCCACCGCCTCTGTGAACAAGCAGTTTCAGCACAAAACACAGTGCTGTATCGACTGAGATAGAAGGGATGTTTCACACTTTATCCTCTAACTTAAAAAACATAATCCAAAAATCAGTATTTGATTGGTTTTTTGCCCTCAGCCTTGTTAACACTGATGGAAAACTGACAGTGAGGACATCAAAAAAGTCATCAAAAGAAGAGACACCTTCAAAAATTATTGATAGTAAAATTCAAGCACACCTGTAACATGATCAATAAACAGCAATTTAACTTATGTGCAAATAACTCTATATTATTCTTTAGAAATGCATTAATGCACCTGAAAATAATTTAAAGAAATACTATCCTTCATACTCACACTAGCAATGGTTTCACTCAGTATCACTGGCTGAATAAGTATATTATTAATCTGAGCTCCCATGCTGCTATGACTTGAAATAGGCCTATTCAGAAGTTAAAAAGATCAACAAAAACAGTAGCTGTTTCTAATATCCAAAGAAGGGGAAAGTGGGGGGGGGGGGAATTTTCATTTTGGCAAGTGTTCAGTGGGCAAAAGATTCAGTCCATAAATCATAATACTGGACTGCATTAATTTTTTCCACACTAATCACAAGCACACAAAACGTTAACTGTATCTGGTATGCACAACACAAAACATACTGCGTGAACAGGTTCAGATTTTCCCCTTGGAAGCCTCTCTTGGCCCTTGCAGTCACCGAGACCAGAGAGATTTAAGGAATTCAGAAGTCACAGTAACATAATCTCACTTGAAAAATGTAAGAATGTGAAAAATGATAGCTCTATTTTTTGGCATAAGCAAAACTGTTTCTTATTCTGATTAGTTTGAGGGCACGCAAGCTACTTATGTTTCTAACATAAAATATAAAGAGTTGGATAAAAAAAAAAATTACCAAGAATGAGCCAATATTCCTCTCTGGTGTAAATCTATTGCAGCTAATGGATTTATGCCAAGGCTGACTTTGGTCCCACTGAGCTTAAAAGTGTTAGAAAACCTGACCTTAGCATGGTGATAACACAACACAGCTTTCCCAAATATCGTGTAAAACAATGGCAGAAATATCCAAAGGGAAAGCATGCCCTAATTCCCAAACATGCACAAGGATGATCTCTTGGCCCCTTCCAATCCAAACCATTCCATGATTCTCTCAGATATAAAGTTCAGGTATGCTAATTTCCACATGTAGCTGAAATACCTTCTTTTTCCAAATGACAAACACACGACAATGACATTTATAGCAAAGGTTGTGTGTGAGCTGCTTGCAGGAGCCTTGCAGTGAAGAAAAGGAGAGTAAGGAGCAAAGGCCAAATTCATGTCCCATTTGCATCTAAGTAAATCCTGAATAACACTGTTTACTTTAATGGAGTTATTCTGGGCTAAACACGAGATCAAAATCTGGAATAATATTCTCAGTTTCTACCAAAACAATGAAAACTTTATTCTCGTACTGCCTCGACTTCTGCATCTATTTTATTTTAAGGAATGGACACACAGCATTTAATTTCTTTGGCTTAAAGAAAGCAAAGTTCAAAAATAATTACTTCCTGTACAGTTATAAAATATGGATTATTTATCCAAACAGACCGTAATGAGTTTTGCATTGGTACACGTATTTACCTGGGAAACCGGGGTATGCTCAGGTAAATATGTATCCAAGCAATTAAATAAAAATTACGTCCCACACAGCCGAGGCTGGGGGGAAGATGTATTTATAGTTTAACACACACATAATTGACTCATTCAAACCACAACCTGAGTGCTTTGCTATAATTAGTATTATAACAAACTGTCTTATTTGACTGTCCCAGAGTTGCCATTAATATGCAATAAGCCCTGATTCCTGAATTTCCGGAGCTGAAGGCCTGGTTGAGTCATTGCGTGATGAAGGGGGATTTCAGGAAGCCGTGCCAAAGAACCGATCCATCTCCGAGCACCCCAGCATTTGTCATTTCAAAAAAGCCCTTCTCAGCTCCCTGAGATCAGGAGGAGCCTCACCCCTGGCTGCAGTGGGAGCACGGGGGGTTTCACTCAGGGAGCAGCACTGCCCGTGACTCCAGATGATGGGTGCGATAGAAATGCTGCAGGGACTGTTCATACATGAGGTTAGGAGCAGTTATGGCAAGAATTTCCCACCATCTCCCTTCTCCAAGCCTCACTGCCAGTCACAGAATTTGGGGCTGCAGCAGTTCCAACATACTCGCTTGTCTTCTCCTGTTTTTTTTTAGTTTTGAAAATATTAAGTCCACATTACAAAATATTTTGTTTGGGATGATATTGAAGAACAGCAAACAATTCAAATTACTCAGCTTTTTTAAGAAAAACAGGCTAAATTCACTAATACCAGCAAACAATGTCTGAGACCTTAGAATCCGAATATATTTTTACTATAGCAGAATTATGAACCCCTAAAAGTGAAGTTTAAGTAACGGAAGTGTTGAAATTATTTTAACGATAGGAGCGCAAATAGCTCTGTTAATAATTAGAAGTTTATGAAAAATAAGTGCATTTTACAATTTTTCCCATTACAAAGAAGGTAGTATATACAGTAACTATATTTTAAAGCCTAAGAAGAAATGGCTGGGGAATAATATTTTAAAATGTAATCACAAGTTTAATGACTTTATGAAGTTAACTTTCTTGGCAGGATGAACTGAAGTATGTTAACAGTCACCTTACGGCTATTTTCTTTTTGCAACTTCTGCAAATTATAGATTTGTTGAAAGGAGTATTCATTCTCCTGTGACAGAAGCACAGTTACTTCAATGAGACTGTCTGCTTTTTTTCTTTCTTCCAGAATTATTTTTTCTTCCACTACCTCCAAAGTCAACAATCACCGATACTTCTTCTACAAAACCGTCTTGATGGACAAACAGACAAAAAGCTGGAAAACAAACATACCGTGTTGTGACATAATCCTTCCAGTTAAACTGCAGGACAGAGTGGGAATGGTGATGTTTGCATGCCTTGGAACTGCTGAGAGCCAAGAATAATGCTGCAGGAGCTACAGTTTTGTTTTCATTATACAAGAAAATTAGATCATAGTTCACCTGGGTGATTTTTTTTTTTAGAGGCAGGAAGGTTGTTGTGTTATTAAATACGCATTAAAATGTTCTATTTTCTCACCTTTTCTAGGTAAAAGCCACACTACTGTAAAATTACCAAATAATATTCTGAATTAAGATATAGTCCTGTAAATACATTCCAAACAGACCTTCCTGATACTTTTATGAAGGCAACTAAATAGAAAAGGTAAATACAGGTTTTTACTTTAAACTTTCTATGTAATATCTCACATGCTACTAATGGTGACACATGAGCTTCTTGTAGTAACACACACAGAGAGGGAAAATACTGAGTTTATTTCCACAAGTCATCACAGAGATGTGTTTTATGCACTTAGCACATCCTGGGGAGATAATTGCATTATGGAGCCCATTAGAGCACTGTGGCAGGTAATGAATGATTCAGGATCACTGCACAAGGGCTCACCAGCACAACTGAATCGTCACAAGATGTCTAAACCAGAAAATTTACCATCTGCAGATTAAAAGAGAATCAATTTTCTTTGTAATCGGTATTTAGTTTCAAATGTAAGCATTTTTTACTGAAGATCATTTAATGTAACACCAGTTGATTATATGTGACCTCTAGAAGATGAAGCTCTGTGTCACATTCTAAATCTTTAGGGAATCATGGAATCATAGAAACGTTTAGGTTGGACAACACCCTTAGGATCATCGAGTCAAACCACTCCCCCAGCACTGCAAGGCCACCACTAAACCACGTCCCCAAGATCCACACATCTGCCAAATCCCTCCAGGGACGGTGA